AGTTTTCCCTTTATTTTGTTAGGAAACATTTATTAAAACCCAATTTTTTGGTAAAATATAAAAGACGAGGTCACGTAGGGTAAATAGACACCAAACATGTGAAGCCTTAAAATTGCGCACGCCCGCGGAATCGCAAAAAAAATACCAGCGCCAAAATTGCCCATAGGCGACGCTTTAAAAGGTTTTACCGCTCATCAGTTTAGTGTAATCAGTGATTGATGGCCCTAGAATTATTGCGCTCACTGCGACATTCGTGGCGATATGCAACATGTGCGGCGTAATCGTCGTTTTTGGGTGTAGGTGCTCTAACGCATTTTTGCTCATCTATGTGGGGGTGGGGGAGGGGGACTTTAAACCATTTTTGAGGGTTGTTTTTGCGTGTGTACCCGCCCACCCGAAACCAGAAGACTCCCGTCCGGCCTTTTTTCAACTTTCGGCGGACGTAAAGTGAAGCCTCAAAGGAGTAAGAAGAGGTGGAACTCACAAAGGATAAGTCAAGTTCCATGTTAAATTCTGCTGAAATACCTGAAATTAGAAGATCCACTCGGGCAACAAAGCGAATAACACCCTGCAAGCTGTTATATACTGCTAAGACACATAGCATACTTGAACCAACATCGTGGGAAGACAGAATAATTACCAAAACGCGAAGCCAATCAATGGAGTAAGGCAGCAGAAGAGAAATAAAGTCACTCCAAGAAGATAAAACCTGGACACTCATGGAGCTTACCCCTGATCGCAATACTATAGTAAGCAAATGGACTTTTAAGGTAAAGCTCGACGCAGAAGGAAATATCCACAAATACAAGGCCAGATTAATTGCCGAGGGATACTCCCAGCAAATTTGGGAAGACTGCGATGAAACATTTGCTCTCGTCGTAAAACACTCCACCATCAGAACACTTCTTAGCATCGCAGCTGGGAAGGGCATGCAAGTGAAACACCTAAAATTTAAAAACGGCTTGAATTGTTTGGTCGCCAATGCCAGAAGTCTGCACAGCAAAATAGGAGAATTGGAAGCTTTGGTTCTTCACATGATTGGGCTGTTAATATTCCTGAAAACAAAAATTGGAGACTGAAGCGCCACAACCTAGTGCACTTGTAATTTTTTGCCTCCAGCTATCAGCGTTTATCTACCACCACTGGCGCCCATCCCCACTGCCCCCGGCGGACTCAGCCCATCCACACCGCTTAGTGGACGCTCGTGCGCTGTCAGCCCGGCGACACTCCAGAACACTCAGCCCACACAGCCGAGCGCCTGCACTACACGGCAGCGCACTGCTCTCTCCACCCTCTCCGTCTCTCGGCAACGAAGATGCCGACGGCTCCCGAAGCACCGCCCAACATGCTGCCTCCCATATGGTGCCCGTCGGTGGGGACTCCTATATCCCTTCCTCCTACTCCTCCATCTGCAGGACATCCTCCGGGTTCTCTACAGAGATCTAAGCAGGACAGCACCATCAGCAGCCACACACCAGACCTCCGTCGTTGACTATGCATCTCTACTAACCTAACGGTTGAGTGACAGAAGACCCCATTGGTTTGTGTTATTCCTCCAACCTCACCAACTGTGTTGTTCTCTTTTATCCACCATTCCTTGGTCCAAAACGCCACCCCCGATTGAAGAATAGGACGGCCTCATCACGTCTGCCACCCCCGAACATCGCTCTCAACCACCTGTCTAAACGAGTACCCACCCTACCGCAGGTGAGTTGAACACTGCCCTCCCCTAACCTTCTCTACACTTTTATTGCGCTAGGTTGTGGCGCTTCCGTCTCCAATTTTTGTTTTCTAGCACACACGTCGGACACCCTGGTCCAGACTTAACAGAAGCCGCACACCAGCAATAAATCTCCCGAACACGGTCCTTTCCCCAGCAATTTTCCACCCTACCACCACTTCCCTCCCCTCCCCTTAATCCCCTCATTTTCAGATTAATAAGAGGCATGGAGGAGCTCAGCTATGAGGAAAGATTAACTGAATTTGTTCTCCCTGGAGAAGAGGCGATTACGGGGGGACATGATCACCATGTATAAATACATAAATGGTCCATATAGTGAACTTGGTGCCAAATTATTCACTTTAAGGTCACTGCAAAGGACAAGGGGGCACTCTTTGCGTCTGGAGGAAAAGAGGTTTAACCTTTGCATACGGAAAGGATTGTTCACAGTTAGAGCTGTGAAAATGTGGAATAGACTCCCCCAGGAGCTAGTTCAAGCTAGCTCAGTTAACCGCTAAAAAAAAATCTGGATGTATTCCTAAATGCACAGAATATTACTGGATATTGAGTTCTTATAGGTATATTAAGCACCAGAGATTGTTGATCTAGGGAATATCCGATTGTCTTATGGGATGTTGGGGCAAACTGAACCATGTTTTATAGTTTTTTTTTGCCTTCCTCTGGATCAACAGTGGGTAACTGTGGGCATAGCGTTCTGTTTTAGGGTCTTTTTTCTTCTTCTCATCTCTATAGGTTGAACTCTATTGACTTGTGTCTTTTTTCAACCTATGTAACCTAGACGTTAAAACCGTTTTCCTATAAGGGAGATCTCTACATGGAGCACCAACCAGGGTTTGAGCCTCTGTAAACTCCACAAGAGCATCTACAGACTCAAGCAATCTGCAAGAATGTGTATTGAGAAAGTAAATGAAATACTCACTAAAGAGGGATTCACAAGAAGCAAAGCAGATCCCTGTCTTTATTCCAGGAATCAAGACAGATGGATATACATCCTAATTTACGTTGATGACATTACAACCTATTTTGAACAAGAAGGGGACTACAGTCAAATTGTTCACAAACTAAAACAAAACTTCTGAAACTTTAAAAAGAGCTAAGAAACAGCACAGTCATCATCTGGGAATTCAAATAAAAAGAGATGATGATGAAAGCTATCTTCTCAACGAAAGTCAGAAAATTGCAGAAATTCTGGAACAATTCCGCACATAAAATGCGAAAGAATTAAAAACAACTATGGAACCAGGCTACCAAATGAGCAATAAAGCAGAAAACTTGCTACACAACAATGACATGTACTGCAGAGCAATCGGAAAGCTACTATACATTGCCACTGTGACAAGACCCAGATATAGAACCGCAGCAGTGGGCATACTCGCTATAAAAGTCACAGCAGCCTGTCAGCGTGACAGGAACGCAGTAAAGAGGGTAATACAGTATTTAAAAAGGAACAATACGGATGAAGCTATGGCTGCCAACAGAGTCAAATCCAAAACTAGTTAGATGTGCAGATGCTGATTTGGCTGGAGACTGCACAGACCGCAAATCCACTGTGCAGCCTGGCTTATGACAGCGCTCCTGTCTCACTGATGACATAGAGCAGATCGAAGAACGGACCTTCACCGGTCTGCTCCCTGCTCTCCATCCTAAAGTCATTGTCGTGGCCCTGGGTCCCCAGAAAATCATGGCGGGGAGAGGAGGGTGGTGGTGGGTACAGGCAAGCCACCCAGATCACTTGTACAAAACGAGCGGCATCTCCCCTGCTCTACATTTAGACTTGCTTGCCCACAGCAGGGCTAAATGTAGAAATACAAACACCTGCCCAGCACACAGAACTGCATGTACTGGGAGACTCTTCAGCAGACGAGCAAGAGCAAGGAGGGTCCGAGGGTCCTTCATGAACTGGCCACAGCTGAAGACTACCAGTCAGCCAGGCAAACCGAACAAAGGGCTTCGAGAGAGCCACGGTTTAGGTAACCCCTAAGCTGAGATGCGATCCGGAGACTGGGCAATCCTATGCTTAGCATTGGGTTGCCTCGGCAACAAGCTGCCCTCCATTCCGGCTCAGCTGCAGCTTAGAGCATGACCTTTGTTCCCAGCAGAGGAGAGAAGCTGGGGAAGGTGGGCTGAGTCGTACCTGCTGGGACAGCGCAGCACCCGCTGAGGTGGCAGGCTAGCTGGGTCGAATCCACATGTAGCCATCAACCGGGCCTGGTTGGGACCACCTCAGTTGGAGAAGTCCACTTTTTTTACATAGTCCTCCAGAGAGCACAGGACTAAAAAATGTCTTGGAGAAAGAAAAAGGCTTATCTGGGTGTTTTCAGTACTTGTAAATAAGATCAAACAGTGTGCAGATGTCCATTCCGTTTTGCAGGTAACTACCAACACCCAATTTTGACTGGGTGGGGATGTCAGTCTAGAAAAATGGTAAGCAGATTGCTAATGTGGTAAGCTAGTAAGAATGGCATCAGTAACACCAAGCTCAGCGATACAGAGAAGTGAGGCTTCAGAGACAGGTCAGGCATAGCAACTGCCATGGTTCCTGGACCTGGATAAGGCACATCAGTGAATCCGCAGGTAGACACGGACATGACACATTGAGCAGCACCCTGTACTGTATATACTATAAATATACCATTAGCAGTTGACTGAAGAGTAAAGCATGCAAAAAGTCTTGAAAAATAGCAAAATCCATCATACTTGAGGACGCTGGGCAAAACTGGACAGAATACCTAGAGAAAAGATTGTGACCCCCAGGAACTGGCCTTGGGTACTTTTAGTCCAATGTAAAATCCTTACATAGGCAGCATTATAACCAATGGTTCATGAATATTAAATGCTGTGTGCTTCAATGGGCGATAAAGAAATAAAGTTTAGGCTTTACATACACATTAACAAATTGCTTTACTATATATCTGGGGGAGGGGGATTTTAAAAAAAATATAAACGCATAAACGTACTTATACATATAACAATCTGTGTGAGCAGGCCTATTCCTTATCAAGTTCTCTGGAACAATTGGACCTAAAGCAGTTATTTGAAAGACACATTCACCAGCAGGGTTTGTCATTGGGTGTCCATATATTGAAATTGCAGGGTGTAAAACAGTTTGTATAATTTGACTAAGAATTATTCTTCCCCCATACAGGGTAGAATCATATTATTTAACCTGCTCAGTAGTTGGAGTATGGGCTCCTCATTATTTTGCTCTACTATCTCTTGTAGCTGCATACTTCTATAGGTGAGAGTACAAAAGTAATACCTGATCCAGTAAGGGCATCATCAGTGTATCGGCTCTTTCCTTGCTGAGAAAGTGCTTAGTGTCATACAGGAAGATTTTATGCAGGCAGTTGAGAACAAATTCCAGTAGCAGGCAACTTTTTTCACAGTTATCATCAGATTCAAAGAATGCCTCATCTATCAAAACAAATTGAAAAACCATAAATAACCTTGAATATAAAGAATGTAATGTAAATCCTAAAAGTTAAAAAAGGCAAGCATATTTTTTAAAATGTACTTTACATGGTTTATTTCTTACATGTTTTCTTGTTCACAAAAATATGTTACAATATGACTGTACAATCTTTAGATTTACCAATAATTATGTAGCGCTAGGTTCTGCCTAATTGGATACAAATCAATTGGATAGTTTAAAAAGGTCCTCATATTGCACAGGTTTGGTAAATGTTAAGGTAGTATTAAACTCTAACTTTTTTCTATAATGAATCCAGATCAAACAAATACATGTTGCCCACCAAAGCATTGCTTTACTTTGTTGCTCAAAAACTTACAATCATAATTTTTCTGAAAAGCTGCTTTCAAGTCTGTGAACAAACGACAAAGCAGACTCCAGCAACTGATCATCTACTAGCTTGGAGAAGGGGCCAGGGTGGAGGGAAGTAGTTTGATTTGCTCTGTCTATTTGTGGAGACATACACAGCTTACAAGCACTCTGCTTGAGAAAGGAGTCACTCTACAAACAGGAAGTCAGGACAAGAGCTCGGAGGAACTTTTAATCATCAAGGAGCAGCATTCATTTTAAGTGATTTTATGAGCATTTGAAATAGCTTAAAATCCTTTTGCCTTTTAATATCACTTTAAAGGGGATTATGCAAAGATCGTACAGTTGGATTGAAAGGTGTATGGTGATTGTTTAAGAGATGTGTGCATGGGTGCTTTGCCAGTGTTCAATTCACCACAGCATATTTCAACAGATGCATATATTTAACAGATGCTACTAAAACATTTCACCATAAGCTACGTGGTCCTGATAATGTAAATTACTTGTAATCCCTTTCAAAGCAGTGGGCAACTTTTGACAATCAGTTTTTGCACACGTCATTCAGATAACAAGCAGAATCAAGCTGCACAGCTCTGGATGCTGCAATGTATGTAATAAAGTTTAGCTAAACCAAAGTCCCAGTCTTTCAGTCCTTAGATGTAGTGCTGCATTAGCTTTCCTTTTAAAGAAAAAATCCTGTTGATTTTGCTAGAAATCTCGTGTTCTTTTTGAGCACTAAAACTAAATCTCAAAAATGTCTTCTGTGAACTACAAAGAAAATCCTCTCTATGCAATTCAGATGACTAGGGGGGGTTTGTAGTCCAAACCAGAAGAGCAGCTCATGGTGGCTATACTGCTTGTCCAAAGATCCAGCACAGTGATTGGAGTGTGATCACTCCAGGACAGCAAAGAAAAAAGGCTTCAAAAAAGAAAACGAAAGCAGCCACATCTAAGACACTTAGGTCCCATTCACACAGGGCGATTTGGGACTCCTGTGGCAGGAACCTATGAATTTAGATGCGGCCACTATACCCATTCAGGTTAATCCACACGTAAGTGGCAGTCCACACGTAATCATATATACGATACAATTACATGCGGTTTGGAATAGATCACGCAGGATAGATGCATCCTGCAACAGTGATCTACTCCAAACTGCATGTAATCGTTTCATATATGATTACATGTGGCTGTCATTTACAGCTGCTGTCGCTGCCACCCCGTCATTTACTTCAATGTGTACAGCTGCTGCATCTGAAAGTGAACACCTGACATTTCAGCCGCAGGAATTTGTAGGTGACTTCTGCAGGAATGCTAGATCGCCCTGTGTGAATGAGGCCTTAACTTGTGACATCACTTTTTTAGTCACATACAATGCTGCTATATACATATATATGAAGAAATAAATGTAATATATATGTATGAAGAAATAAATGTAAATGTATTTATAGTTTCACATGGGTCAAAGAAAGCCAATGTTCCAGGGACACGCAGGGTCCCCTCTGCAAGGCGCCACAGTGATCACTACATTGACTTCATCATGAGTGCTGGTGACCCTTCTTCCATTGATTCTGTTAAGCACAGCGCCATCCGTAGCTGTCACTACAAGCACCCTACCTTTCTACTTTAGTCAGTACGCTGCATGGAGTGCAGTTTTGGACTGTTATCTACTAGTGCAAAATAACACACATACATTTACAATGTATGTGTTTTTTTAGTGATTGCGCACATACATTAATGAAGGACAAAATAAAAGACAAATTCCGTGTCATTACATTGTAATTTGTGCATCCTATGTCAGTTTTTGACGGGCATGAACACGTCTGCTAGTTGAATACGTTACTAACAAACTATCCCTTCAAGGTACATTTTATGTTTTGATAGAACTGCATGCACAAATCAGTTCTCTCTTTGCTTAAGGACAGCAACAGCAAAGGTATCAAAAAGAGGATTTAGTATAATTTAATAAACTATCGCTATGACAAGAAAGCCAAAAATCCACTAAAATATAGGAAAAATGGTTGATAACTTTTATTTTCTATAATTACAACATGTGTATCAGCATCTTGTCGCATCACCAAATACCTGTTTTCATGGTGTTTGTCCAATTTAAAATATCCGCTAATGGCTTGAGGAGATGTCCAGCAAACAATGTGAAAAGCCCCTTCAATTTGTCAGCGATGCAATCCGCCAGACGGTAGAAGGTGATGAGCCTTTCTTTTGAGGCGCCTTCTGTTCTAGACCAGTCAAACAGCTAATAAAATAAATATATGTGAGTGCTGCAAAAAAACACACAGATTTCGGTAAATATGTTCTTCAGTATTCCCCGAATTACCTTGAAGAAAAGTGGCCTGAATGTTGCCTCTGAAAGTTTCATGACCATAATGACCAGACAGTTGATGATATCCCCTTCAATGATACCTACTTCTTTTAGATCAAGCTGTAAAAGAACAATACAGTTTACAAAGGCTGTACAGTACTTTGTTATATATTCAGTAACAAGGTACAATACACACCAGGTCAAATAAATCTATTTATACTACAATATTTCTTTGGAACTGGAACAAAAATTAAACAATGGGTAGAAATCTGCTATGGCTGGAAGCTGACGGAAAGCTCCAAAACGGTGCGCTTGAATTTGTCAGTTTCAAAAAATTACAATAAGTAGTGATTTAAACCACCGCAGGGCCAATAAAAAGTAATTTATGATGCAGTGCATATTGAAAATAAATTTTTACATTTCCCAGATGTTAACAGTACTGTTATTCATGTACATATTCAGTTTAAAATATTCATGGCGCATGCAGCAAATCTGTGTATCCACTACCCACTGTTTGCTCCCAACCCCAACTGCCTTTATCCACCTCTTTCCTTATCGGTGCATACACAGAGCGAGGGCAGACATATATGCACAAACACACACAGAGCAAGGGCAGACAGATAAGCATGCACACAAAGTGAGGGTAGACAGACATGCATATACACAGAGCAAGGGAAGCACAAAAACACTGTGCGTGCTCACACACAAATTCAAGGCAGGCATGTAAACACACAAATTCAGGGCAGGCATGTAGACACACATATTCAGGGCAGGCATGTAGACACACATATTCAGGGCAGGCATGTAAAACACACATATTCAGGGCAGGCATGTAAAACACACAAATTCAGGGCAGGCATGTAAACACACATATTCAGGGCAGGCATGTAAAACACACATATTCAGGGCAGGCATGTAAACCACACATATTCAGGGCAGGCATGTAGACACACATATTCAGGGCAGGCATGTAAAACACACATATTCAGGGCAGGCATGTAAAAACACACATATTCAGGGCAGGCATGTAAACACACAGGTTCAGGGGTGGCATGAAAACACAGGCATGGGGCAGGCATGTTCACATAGAGTCAGGGCAGGCGCGCACACACAGTCAGGGAAGGCATGCACAGACACACAGTCAGGGCAGGCACACAGATAAGGCAGGCATATACACAGACACATACAGAGTTAGGGCAGACAACTACACACACACACACACACACACACACACACACTCAAAGCAGGCATGCACACAGGGTCAGGCACATACACACAAAGCGTTAAGGAAGGCATGTAACATGAGTTAAAGAATGCAGATACACACAGTGAACAGAGTTAGGGCAGACGTGTGCACACAGAGCAGTACTTTACGCTATATGCATCTAAAGTCAACTATTCAACAAAGCCATGTTATACAGTGATAAAGTTTTCAATGACTTTGTTGATCAACTAAGCCATGTAACAGAGATTGGATCAATTTAAAGCTAAAAGCACTTTGCATGTCTACGTTTAAAAAACAAACTTTAAAAAAAAACTAATTATGACTTGCAGGGGTCAATTTTGACTACATTTCAGCAAATACAAAATTGTTTAAAGGAGAACTATGGGGTTCTGGCTTTTCCCCATAGTTCTCCTTAGGGTAACGGGAGTACACAAACTAGCGTCCTCCCGTCACCCTAAGCTCAGTATACCGCGAGCTACAGCTCGTGGTATACTGAGACGCCGCAGTACGTGTACGGAGTAGAGATGTCCAGTTCATGAACGAATCGTTATTTGGAATCGATTCTATTCAGTGAACTTGTTGATCCGTTTAAAGCAGCTCAGCGTGACGTGCCAGTGTGTGACCTATAGCTTAGTGATCAGAGGAGTTACTGAGTTAAAAGAATTGTGAGTCCCCACCAGTAGAACAATACACTGTCTCAATGAGCAGGTTGCAGCAGTGATAAGGGACAGACAGCAGGGAGATTTACACATTTACAAGAAAATAAAAAATAATTTATTTTTTTTAAAACAATTTTTGGTTTAAGTTTTAATTTATTTTATTATTTTTCACTTAACATATTTTTTCACTTACATTTATTAATAGCGTTAGTATCAATGTTCCCCAGGAGCTGCCTGACACCCTTCTCTGAATTAGAGTCCTCTGATTCGGATGATTCTATGAAGGTTCAGACAGCTCCTGAGCTTCGGTTCACTTGCTTGTCAGCCGACTCAGCAAGTGAATCGAAGATTCGGTTCATGAATCGGTTCTTTTGAATGAACTGATTCATTTAAAAGATCCGAACTTCCCATCTCTAATACTGAGACATTGCAGCTGAAGCGGATCCCTACAATTATGTCTGTATCCGCCCAGCTGCGTGAGTGACAGCTGGCTCTGCCTATCTAGAGGCAGAGCCAGCTGTACCGGACCCTCCCCCGTCCGTTCCGCCAGTCAGCGCTGGAGGATCGGGGAGGGGGGGATCCAGCCACTCCCGTCACGGAAGAGAGCTGTGACAGGATTGAGAAGTGAGCGAACGCCGGTATGTGTTCGCTCACTTCCCAATCTACTGAGCCGACCTGTGACCGTCTCATTGTCACAGGTCGGCTAGAACTATGAGGTGAGTGGAAAGCATTCACCTCATAGTTCTCCTTTAATTTAGCCACAAAATCAAATGCAGTTAATTTGACCAGTGACATACATTTGGCACCATGCCACACATATGTGTGACATTCACAAAACCATAATGTTTTTTTTAATTTTAGATATTTGTGATTTCATAATAAATACAAGGAATAGATGAAAGACCAATACAGAAAAAGTTTCCATTACCGCAGAATGCTCCTGCTTCTGCCAGCCCCTCCCAGCCCACCCCTGCAACCAATCACATCTCTGAGTCACAGTACACAGAGTCTAAGAATAGAATGAGTCTACTAGTTAAAAGAATCAAATGATTGTACTTAGTTAGTAGACTCATTCGATTCTTTGAGTTAAAGAATCCTTAGTGATCAGAGGAGTTACTGAGTTAAAAGAATTGTGAGTCCCCACCAGTAGAACAATACACTGTCTCAATGAGCAGGTTGCAGCAGTGATAAGGGACAGACAGCAGGGAGATTTACACATTTACAAGAAAATAAAAAATAATTTATTTTTTTTAAAACAATTTTTGGTTTAAGTTTTAATTTATTTTATTATTTTTCACTTAACATATTTTTTCACTTACATTTATTAATAGCGTTAGTATCAATGTTCCCCAGGAGCTGCCTGACACCCTTCTCTGAATTAGAGTCCTCTGATTCGGATGATTCTATGAAGGTTCAGACAGCTCCTGAGCTTCGGTTCACTTGCTTGTCAGCCGACTCAGCAAGTGAATCGAAGATTCGGTTCATGAATCGGTTCTTTTGAATGAACTGATTCATTTAAAAGATCCGAACTTCCCATCTCTAATACTGAGACATTGCAGCTGAAGCGGATCCCTACAATTATGTCTGGATCCGCCCAGCTGCGTGAGTGACAGCTGGCTCTGCCTATCTAGAGGCAGAGCCAGCTGTACCGGACCCTCCCCCGTCCGTTCCGCCAGTCAGCGCTGGAGGATCGGGGAGGGGGGGATCCAGCCACTCCCGTCACGGAAGAGAGCTGTGACAGGATTGAGAAGTGAGCGAACGCCGGTATGTGTTCGCTCACTTCCCAATCTACTGAGCCGACCTGTGACCGTCTCATTGTCACAGGTCGGCTAGAACTATGAGGTGAGTGGAAAGCATTCACCTCATAGTTCTCCTTTAATTTAGCCACAAAATCAAATGCAGTTAATTTGACCAGTGACATACATTTGGCACCATGCCACACATATGTGTGACATTCACAAAACCATAATGTTTTTTTTAATTTTAGATATTTGTGATTTCATAATAAATACAAGGAATAGATGAAAGACCAATACAGAAAAAGTTTCCATTACCGCAGAATGCTCCACTCTATAATCCAAGGCCTTGAGAAATAAACTGGTAAATTCAGACTGGTGAGTTGAGAGCTGCAACTTCTCTGTTGTAGCTATGTGTTCCCTCAAGACATCCATAAGGGAGGAAATGCATTGTTGCTAAAAAATAAGAATGGGTAAAAGCATTAGAAATAACCAGAGAAATAAACTCTAAATCAAACAATCATGAAACATGACAGTGAAACATTTTTAATGGCAAAATGCCCAACAGACAAAAAAACACACACCATGGGTGGGATCTGTATCCTCCAAATAACTATTGAAGATTTTTGTACAGTAAAATCCTTTTTTCAGTAGTTTGTTGGAAGACACTGGACTCTCATCTTAAATGTATAGCTGGCAATCACAAAGCACTATGAAAATCACAAAGGCTCAGCCCAATCTAGTCATCTAGTCCCTATACCGATGGAAATTCACATAAGCTCAGGAGAAACCAGGTAGTAGGAGAAGGAAAAACAACCTTCTGTGAAACATCTTAACTGTGGCACTGGGTCAATACAAAAAAAAACCACAATCAGTGAGGACAGGGCTGTGTCTTCCAATGAAGAATATACTGCAAGTACACAAATCCTATATTCTCTCAATGAAGGACACAGAGTTGTTCTGTGACAAAATCCCACTGCTGCCTACAGCCAAAGCTACCATCACCAGACATAGCAACATCCATCCGATAGAATTTGTGATAGGTGTTGATTGAGTACCAGGTAGCAGCTTTGCAAACCTAGGAAACAGGAGCCTGGTATTGGAAAACTCAAAGAATGGGCTGTACCTAGGGATGTCCCGATACCATTTTTTCAAGCACAAGTATGTTATTGCCTCATGTTTTTGCCGATACCAATTACCGATAATTATTCTAAAAGTGACGTGACGTGACATTTTTTTCTAAAACAATACAGACTGATGATTTTAGGACAGTTTCTTCATAATTATGAAGAAATGTAACCCAATCCATTGTTATACTAGTCCTGATAACCAAAACCGTATTCGACCGTGCTAACAAGCCCTTCTTATTGGCCAGCACTGTCACCTGACTGCACTGACCAACGAGTGCTAGCAATTTGCAAGTGAAATTCAAAATTCATAGCGCAGGGCTGCACTGGACGGCAGTATGGGGTACAGATAGTACACCCATACCGGGTTAAGGTCCGCTTTAAGTTTCAGGGGTGTGGAATTCCTATCGCCCGACGCCTGGGACATGCAGTTTCGGGCGCCGGGCGAGTAGTTTTTTTGTACACTTAGCTCTGCTTGTCCGGAGCGGGGCTAAGTGTACAGTGTGGAGCCGCCGCTCGTTTTCAAGTGATCTGATCATTTATCAGATCACTTGAATGAAACGAGAAGCGATTCTGTCCATCACTGAGACCGTGGCGCTGTGATCACAGCGCCACCTGTCTCAGATGTCAGGAACTACACAGAACATCAGTTCTATGTTGGAGGGCAGGTTCCATAAAGAGAACCTGTCACCTTACTTAGAGGATTTTAAATCCCCATGTGATAGGAATAAAATTAGGTGGGGGTAAAAAATTAAAAAAAAGTTAGAAAAAAGTACAAAATAATTACATAAAAAAAAAGTGACAATGTAAAAAATTAAAAAAATTAAAACCAACCCCGATGCCCCCGCCATCTGCATGCAAATAAACGCACGCATAGGACATTGTGTGTGTGCGTTGAGTGCTGCCACCATTTCACTGTGCCATATTGTGGTAGCGAGGCAGCAGAACTCTCCCACACGCACAATGTGCATTAAAGGGCAAGTTCACTTTCCCAGGTAATGGGAAAATGGATTTACCCGATCAAATCTGGCCCCCGTCTCTCCCAAAAACCCCCACCCCCCGGCTATACTTACCTTTTGGCAAACAGTCCTTGCCCTCCGCCGGTGCAGGTGTACTGTCCTTACCCCGTACTGTGCATCGCAGTCTTGCCCTATGCATTTTGAATTTCGCTCGCAAATTGCAAGCACTCATTGGTCAGCGTAGTCTGGGGACCACGCTGACCAATGAGAAGCGCTATTTAGCACAGACCAATACAGTTTTGATTAGGGATGCACAGATACAGAGTATTTGGGCAAGTACTTGTACTCGCCCAAATGCTCGATATCTTCTCCAATACCGAAACTTCTGGTCAGAGGAAGATTTCCTCTGACAGGCAGTGCCGTAGGGGAACATGGTGCCAGCTTCCCGTGCAATCAGGAAGCGGGGCAGCGACTAATGACCCGCCTCCCAGTTTCCCGATTGGCCAGGAAGCCAGCTCGTTGCCGATTGCTGGGAAGCCGGAAGCCAGTTCATTCACATCCCTTGACAATTTACGAATTGACTCTTCGCATAGTGTGGCCTCCTCTGCACAAGGGACTCCTTTGAAGCCTAAATCCAAAAGATCTGCTCTTATTCAATGGGAAAAGGAGGTAAGAAGAGACTCACCTGCAGACGATTCTGAGTATATTTAACCTTTACCTTAGTCTCTGCTGTGACTTTGGCTGGTGGAAGCAGAGTCAAGTGAGTCGCAGTTACGGTAGCGGCACCGGGGCTCGGTGACCGGAGATTGGACCAAACACCGGTGATCAGCGGACTGAGCGGAGCTGATCACCAGAGCGAATCGGTTGGGGTGATTGGTGACCGGCGAACGGAGGAGTGAGTAGTGGGGTGATCGGAGCTGGGACAGGAGCATGACAGAGTGAGACTGACTGGAGTGGTGAGAGGGGCGTATATAGACTGGTGAAGAGATAATGATTGGGAAGGGTGAGCAGTTCAGAAAAGAGCTATTGATTGATTGATTGGTTAGGCTGGGGAGACAGGAGGAGCAGGGCTGAGTGGGGGTTGCGAGTTGTACATCGGATAAGCAGTCTGGTAGAGGGATTGTATTGTATTGTGAAAGCTGAGGGGAGAGAAAAAGCCACAAAAAAGGCAGATAATTCATCGCTGAGGTACCAACTGTGTTACTAATTAAACTTCTGAGCATTGGGGGTATTATTCTGCTGGAAATTACTGTGGTATTAACCGTGTTATTAATAACTGCTGGGCATTGGGAGCAATAACCTGTTAGGAATTACTGTGGTGCTAATTGTGCTACTAATAACTGCTGGACACTGGTAGTAATAATGTGCAGAGAAAGTGCTGTAATAATAACTATTACTAAATTGCTGGGCATTATTAGCAACAATCTGCTGGGAATTACTGTGGTACAAATTGTGTTACTAAAAACTCTTGGACACTGGTAGTAATAATCTGCTAGGAATTGCTGTGGTAATAACTGTATTACTAAGAATTGCTAGGCACTGGGAGTAATAATCTGTTAAAAAATTGCTGCGGTACTGTGTTACTAATTTGGCGGGCATTAGTAGCGATAATTTTTGCTGGGAATTCTGTGGTACAAATTGTGTCACTAAACTGCTGAGCATTGGTAGCAATAATCTACTGGGAATTACTGTGGTACTGTTACTAATAACTGCTGGGCATTGGTAGTAGTAGTAGTATTCAGCTGGGAATTACTGTATTACCGAATGTGTTACTAAAAATCACTGGGCATTGGAAGTAATAGCTGGAGGACCACTGGCTGGCTACCCCTGGTGTAGAGTGTTAACACTGATGTGCAAGATGTGAGTGAGTTGCTTGTTTGGTAGCCCAGATTCTGGATCTAAATAATCAACTGGCAACACAGTGGAAATTGGGTCTCACCCAGCAGATGCTGGCTGAGACCAGTGTAAAGAAGGGGAGGATATACGGCTTCAGGATACAGAGGTAGGTAGCTGGGCTACAGTTAAAAAAAATGGGGTATAGTGAATGTTTTAGGGAGGCTAGCACTGAATAGATATACCCCAATAAATATACCTGGTTGGATGATATTAGGGATATCAGTTCAGGGGTAGCATTTGCTGGAGCAGAATATCTCCCCTGGCTACCAGGGGAATGACTGTTCCAGTAAGAATGGGAGTAAGAGCATAGGCCAGGAGAGACAAATACTGGTGGTAGGGTACACAAATATTAGGACAGACAGTCCATCACCAGGACCATGATCACTGAACAGTCTGGTGTTTACCGTGTGCTCAGGTTCGAAGTGATGTGGATCAGATTGACAGGTTGTTGGGTAGGGATGGGGAAGACCCAGCTGTCCTGGTGATGCGGGGGCCAGTTGTACCATGCAAGGTACACAACATACCTACAATTTTCTAGGTGCAAAACTATTAGCTGGGCACATCTAGCATCTGGAATTTTTGCTTATTCTTCCAAGCAAGACAGCTCCAGCTCTCTCGAGTTACATGGGTTGCGTTGGTGTACAGTAGACTTTAAGTCATACCGCATATTCTCAATTGGATTGAGGTCTGGGTATTGACTAGGCCATTCCAAGACATAGGTTTCCCTTTTAACCAGTGCAGTGTAGCTTTAGCAGAATGTTTAGGGTCTTAAATATGTGGCAGACTTGAACAAGTTTTCTTAAAAATTGCCCTATTTGGTGTCATCCTTGTATCCTTTAATCCCGACCAGTTTTCCAGTCCCTGCCAATGAAAAGCATCCCCACAGCATGATGCTGCCATCACCATGCTTCACTGTGAGGATGGTGTTCTCAGGTTGATGGGAACAGTTAGATTTTCCCCACACAGTGTTTCCCATAATGGCTAAAAAGCTACATTTTAGTCTCATCTGACCAGTGAACCTTTTCCACGTTGTTTGGAGAGTCTGTAGATTAGGAGTCAGCAAACTTTTACACACCAAGTGCCATTTTTGCAACCATTACACAACCAGGTGCCAATGAACAATAGCGCACCGTAGTATTAGTTAAATAACAATTTTTACACTCATAGTTTTAGTGCTTATACTAAGTTAAAGTCACTAATTTTATTTTGTTTACCTTGGCATTAGCAGCACATCTGTAACTGAAAAAATGAATGATTGGTGCACACAAAAGAAAACTGGACTTACAATTTTAGTGTGATCACTGTGCCTGTATTTCATGGGTTAGTTGTGCTATGTCCGGCCTGTAGGATTTTACTTTCAGCTGATGTCAGACCAGCAGCAATGTACGGTAGGCCTTAGACCAGCACCAAACACACGCATTGCATGGCAGACCTCAGACCAGCACCAACACACGCAGTGCATGGCAGACCCAAGACCAGCACCAACACATGCAGTGCATGGCAGACCTCATACCAGCACCAACACACGCAGTGCATGGCAGACCTTAGGCCAGTACCAATACACATGCATTGCATGGCAGACCTCAGACCAGCACACGGATTGCATGGCAGACCTCAGACCAGCACTAAAACACACATTGCATGGCACATCTTAGACCAGCAGCAATACACGTGTTGCATGGCAGACCTCAGAGCACCAACAAATTGCAGACCTCAGACCACCTCCAATGCATGACAGACCTCAGACCACCACTAATTCCCTGCAGACCAGCTCCAATTTACACACTTCAGCCTGAATATCAGCTAGAAAACACTGTATGATAAGTTTGCAACTTGTCATGCTTGAAAGAAAAACACAAAACTGTATAGAAGCAGTCTTCCCTACCCACATGGACCAAGGCATATTAGGCACACACGCAGACCAGACCCATACAAGTGCACAGCAGTATCATCAGTCACAAATGGCATTGATTTTATTCCTGTCCTACATATAAGGGCAGGTATAAAATCAAAGCTATGTGTGGCTGATGATACTGCTGTGCATGTGAGGGTCTGCGTGTGTGCATGTATGAGGGCCAGCGTTTGTGTAGGTGAGCGGTATGCATGGGGCACTCACAGTAATATTCTGTCAGCCAGTGAAATCTTCATGTCGGGCACGGCGCAGTAAAAGCCTCAGTAAATAGTCCAGTTGGGCAGGTGAGTGAGAAAGCCTGCTCCTCAACACAGAAGGAAAAGAATGGGGCTTTTAGGCTACCAGGGTCGGGTCAGGTCCTATGTTGACTGAGGAATTTGACATGCCCCGAATGGGCAGGGGCTTATGAAAAAGTCACGTTCTGTTAGTCAGAGGCTCTATTGATTGGCTGTTAGCCGACAGGCCCGATCTCAGAAGCAAGTTGCTGGAAGACTGCTCAGGTAAGCCTGCACTTTGCCACACATGGTGCTCTATAATGTATTGCTGGGATTTGTATTCCTCTATAGCAGACGGTACATTGTGCTGTATATTATACATAGGAATACAAATCCCAGCAATACATAATACACTGTATGTATAATGTATTGCTGGGATTTGTTGTATTCCTATATAGCTGGTGGTATTCTGCATTGAGATGTATATAGGACTACAAATCCCAGCAATAATACATTATACAGTGGTGCAATGCAGAATACCACCAGCTATAGACTACAAAACCCAGCAATAGTACATTATACAGCGCAATGCGTACATGCTATAATGTACTATTGCTGGGATTTGTTGTATTCCTCTATAGCGGGTGGCATTCTGCAATGTGCTGTATAATGTCCTATTGCTGGGTTTTGTAGTCCGCTATAGCCGGTGCCATTCTGCATTCATTGCTGTAAAATTTTACACTTTCCCTTTCACTATATTGCACACCACACTTTACTTCCATTGCTCCAAGCTTGCTCCTGTGATGCACTACAATCTCAATACAAACTAGTAGTCCCATCACTGGAGCCATTTTAAAAAATGTATTTTATTTTTTTATCCGGTTAACCGATGAATCAAACGTAATAATCGGCTAATCGATTTTGAAAATAATAGTTAGCTGCAGCTCTAGTCAAGAGCATCGCAAAGATATGCTGATCCACTGCAGACAGAGACCAAATTGCAGCCTGTAGCCTCTGGATACAAGGCTCTGGACCCAGATGTAGGAAATGGTCTGGGATTTTACAATCCCACAATTCTGCATCGGTCTCAGCGAAGTGGATGTTGTAGGGAAAAAAAGAGATGTTGCACAAACAGTGAACGGGTCATGAGCCAAAGGAACGAGACAGCTGCTACTCTTGACCCCGAGATGTACCATACTAAAAGTATAAATATAAGTTAGGACTCACTATCATGGCAAACCCGTGGCTCAAGTGTAGAGCAGGAGGGGAGAGTGGCTGGTTGTGACAAGGTTACTGTAGGCCTTGTACAGCAGTTTTCAAGTTAAATAGTATCAGCAAGAGTACCGAAGGATCAATTGCAAGGCAGGGGGAGAAAATGCCTGTTTTTGGCTAGGCCACCTAAGGCAATTGTACAAAAAGTTGAGCATGGGTTACTTGTGGAGGAGGTCATTCATGACTAGGCCACATTAGGCTCATAACCAAACAGTATGTAAGACAGTACCCACAAGAGCTACTCTCTAACCCCCTGGAGATGAGGGGCAATGGTGGTTTGTGACTAGCTTACCACAGGCCACCATACAGTGTGCAAGTGAGACAGAATCAGCAAATGCAAAAAAGTGAAGGTAAACCATGACTTGGTCACTATAGGCTGCTGTGCAAACAGTATATAAGTGAGAGAGTAACAAAAAAGGATGCTTACAGACCAACTGGAGCAGGAGGGGTTAAAATCCATCCGTATCTAGGTCAGCATAAGCCACTGTGCAAACAGAAACCAGTGAGGCATTACCACGAAGAAATACTCATGGATCCACTGCAGAGCAGCAGAGGCTAATGGCCATTTGAGATCATTTTACTATAGACTGCTGTGCAAACAGTAAACCGTGAGATATCAACAAGGGTTAATCACAGACCACTGCAGAGCAGAAAGGATTAATGGGCATGTGTGACACGTTCACCATAGGCCACTGTACAAATCGTACACAGTGAGAAAAAATAACTGTTACTCACAGACCACTTCAAAGCAGGAAGGTTCAGTGGCCACCCATGACTAGGTCACCACAGGCCACTGTAAAAACAATATACAGCGAGACAACACCCCCCGAAAAAAATTTGCCCAGAGACTACTGCAGAGCAGCAGGGGTTAATAGGCCTCTGAAAGCAGTTGCCAAGAGGGATGTCCCATGGCCTCATGAAGAGCTGGCAGTAGCACAGAAATGCTTTGTCCTCCTGGAGGGCATACTCACTACAAGGTTTTCAGAGACTGGGCGGCTCCAGCAGATGGACCTGTATAGCACCCTGCAGCTAACATGCCAAGGAGAGCGCCCCATACACGATCCAGTTCCTGAAGCAACTTTGCAGGCTGGCACAGGATAGTCTTCCTGGTGTTGTCTCTGTACTGTCCCCAAGGCTTTCTTGGGGAATGACGATCTGGAAGCAGTTCATTTGTGCCGCAATAGCTGTGCAGCTAAGGGTCTTTAGGAAAAAAAAGTTAGATTCTTTCACAACAGAGAGAACAATTCCATTACTCAAGGACACTAGCAGAAAACAGGCGTGCTTGGAGTGGGAGGGGTTATACTGGGCTATCCTTACAGCTTTTTTTTTATCCAGTGTCCAATCTCCTGTAGGTGGCAGTATAATCCAGTGGTCTATAAAGAACACCCAGTGTCCTGTGATGCACGATAAAGAAAAGTGCATTTCGAGTAGAAATATTATACTTTCCAATGTGGCTGGTTTTAGATAAATTCTCTGTAGAATTGAGAAACATCAATGCATAGGTGTAAATAATTAAAATAAATATTAATGACAAAACAAAGGTGTCACTAACCTGCTTTGTCTCCACAAGATGGCAGTAACATTTGGAGATTGCTGGGAGGAGAACTCTGGCTGTCAGCTTGGTTGACAATGTTGTTTTCAGAGCTGTAACTCTTACAGAAATCTGAGAAGTGGGTCCAACTTTAATTGCTATATTATCAAGCAGTGTAACCTAGAAAATCCACACATAAGAAAAGATGGGACATTATCTTCTTACATTGGTTTGATAAAGGAATTAAATATAATACTATACAAACATAAAAAGCTCACATACACTGTTAGCACACAGAAGCATTACCTAACTACTTGCAAAACGCATGATACACCCCACCACAAATTGTAATTCAAGTACCTTTGGCGCCCCAGTCTTGCTATCCCACAGCACCTGTAAAATCAATGGGGTCGGCTGTCAAACTGACAGCCGGGTGCCATCTCCTGCTGCAGGAACACAAACAACAGTTTCTGTGAAAATGAAGCCGACAACAGTGCTTGTTGTCTTAACAATATTTATGTTACAATGTAGACTAATTTATTCATGTTCAAGATCAAAGAAATGTACGTTTTGCACAAAATAGGCTCAATTCACATTCACAGCTTTAACACAAGTATAAGGCTCTCAAATTTAACCACTGTCATTTTCAAATCTTATTGGTTTCAACTGTACTTATCCTGGAGTGTTGGCTTTGTGAACTGAGCCTACTGTCGGTTAAAGTATTTCCGTTGGGAAGATTTACAATCACGTCCTCTCCTGGGAATGCAACAGGAAATAAATGGAAATCCCCCCCCCCCCAAAAAAAAATGGCTATACCTAATAATAATATTGCTTTACATACAATACTATATGCAATATTTATTTTGCTTTGCACAAGTATGGATTTGCGTACACTTAAATCATGTCATATCTTTTTTTCATTTTCATTTGTTTTGTTGTTTTAAAATTGAAATTTAGGCTAAGCAAATACGTTCTGAGAGAAGCAAGTATTCATTCTTGAATCGAGTTATTGAAAGCATTTCTGACAGATCTGTTTAATAATCCTGAGAAACAAACCCATCGCCTTCTGGGGGAATTTCCTGTAATGAAAACTTCTCACTGCTGTCCGCTCAGTGTGTAGGATTGACCGATAGCCTACTTATAGGCTGTCTGCAAAGATTATGTACAGCACAGTGATGATGTCTATATTTACAAAGTAATACTGTATCTCAGTTTGCAAAAGGTATTCGGATCTATGCTGGGTCCAGAGACCCAAACAGTTATGAAAACCTGACAAGCCATTCTGCTTGAAGAAAAACCCTGAATGGTTCCAAAGATAGCATTTCTCTGAGACATCACAAATACCTTACATCTGATGAATCTAGTGCCATATATTAGTTAATACAGTACTGGATACAACCTGTCCACCTTTTGGTTAATCACAATTCGAGAAAATCCACATCTAGTGCCCCCACTGGGGAAAAATGTCCTGAAACACCCTCTTGTGAGAAAACCATTCCCCTGGATCCAACGGTTTTCAGATTTAAAAAATCTGTCTTCCAGTTTCTCACGCCAGGAATGTACACTATAGAAAAAGCTGGAACATGACAGTCCTGACCACCTCCACTGCTGCACAGATGGATGTTCCTACATGATGATTCACATAAGTTACATGGCATTGACTCATTGGACCCGGAGCAAAGATCTGCCAGAAGACATCCAGCAGCGAAAAGTCAAGCAAATCACATGTACCTCTCACCAACCCAGATCACTCAAGCAACCAACCACCCTGCACTGAGCGGGTGTTAAGAGGCCTCCCCAGTTGAGTAGGCTGGCCACCATGATCCTTGACTCATCATAACAGCATAGTAATATCCTAGTCTGATGATGTAGCTGAATCTCTGAACTCAGGAGTGCTGTTGATTTCTTCACTTATCATAATCGGAATCTGTCCCACACCAAGGTACTGTCCCTCTACAGACATCTTGTATGACACTAAATGAATGCCACCACCGTGAGGGCTTGTTCACACCAGCAGCTACACTCAAACACACGGCTGCAGGTGTGCGCGCCTGGCACAGTGCCAATGCGCTTAATTGAGACATCTCACTTTTTTAATGAATGTTACTGAAATGTCACAATTGACATTTCATCATGATCTATGGGCACACTGCATGCACATTTTTTTTTAAACGCACACTACTGCAACACAGTGGTGTAAAATTTCGTCTTGCATTCGGGCTGCTCTGGAAAAAATGCCCTATGCAGCCCGAAAGCATAGGGTGTGAACGGGCCCTGAAAAAGGTTTCATGAAATCCAGTCTTCATGCAATAACTTTAGAAGCTACAGAATTCCGAAAAAATGGAATCCAAGGCACACAAGGCAAATCACTCATATACATCTACAGGTGAAACTTGAATAATTAGAATATCGTGCAAAGTTCATTTATTTCACTAATGCAACTTAAAAGGTGAAACTAATATATGAGATAGACTCATTACATGCAAAGCAAGATAATTCAAGCCGTGATTTGTCATAATTGTGATGATTATGGCTTACAGCTCATGAAAACCCCAAGAACCCCAAATCCACAACCTCAAAAAAGTAGATTACATGCAATCAATAAAACAAGGATTGTACATAGAATAATATCGGACCTCTGAAAAGTACAAGCATGCGTATGTACTCAGTACTTGGTTTGGGCCCCTTTTGCAGCACTTACTGCAATTACTTTTGCACGATATTCTAATTATTCGAGTTTCACCTGTATATATAGAGGGAGGTGGCAGGTATACGCTGTCTTGTCATAATCACTCATCAGCATTGGTAAGTGTTTTAGTTCATGCATCTTTCAGGGTAAATCATTCTTAGCCCTTGTCCGTTGCCATCAATCGTTGCTTACCCTAAGCGTTGGGGTCGTTCTCTAGTGACATTAATACTGTGGGATCACGAAACATTCATGGTAGACACCTTGATTAGGAATTAAGCGTTACACAAGTATTGTCAAGGTACAGTGGATGAGCAATCAGCCACATAGGCAGTTATCATTAGCGTATGGCAGATAAGTTGCATGTCACGTTAGACATTTTGCCTGCTTTAATCTTGTGGTAGATGGCAATTGGTTAGGCAATTTGCGTGTATTTTGATGTAGTTAAACAGTGATTCAGCAAGTTACATGATCTGGTTATAAGCAGTAAAAAAAAAAACAGTAAGGGGGGCTTATTCACATACGCAGCATCGTCAGATGCATTTTCCAGGCTTCTTCGTGGCCTACATTATTCATGCACCTTTCATACGTTTCTTAAACTGTGCATTTCTTATTTTATAGATAGTTGGCGAATCATATCTTAATAGTCATCGGATGCTCTGAGGATAAGTGCCTAGTTTGTGTTATTTTCCTCAGGCTCAATCACACATCATGTTGTGTTACACGCCTACTATAGGACAGGGAGGGACAGAGAGTTTCAGTATAACCTGAGTCGCCACAGGTAGATTCTGCCCTGGATAGGTGACTAGACACGTATTCTAGTCAGGAAATGTGGACTGAGAATCGTTGTTAATTGATCTATAAGCTTTATATAGGTCTTTTCGTCTGCATGCTGTCCATGCACGTACACCTGTCTCCCAGTAAATCTGTAGGATCTTCTTTTGTTTTCTATTAAAGTATTTTGCTGTGTCAAAAGTGTTATACATGAGTGTGTTACTCTTCAATTTTGTGTAATACAGTACATCGGAATAGTTATGTCGCATGTGTGTGATAGTGAGGACTTTGCGTCACTCCCAGCAACTCCATCCAGAGGCTCAGATCTGGGAAGCACCCAGTCACCTAGGGCATGGAGTATACCTAAAATTATTCTGGAGCTTCAAAGAAGAGGCATTCCCTTCCAAGCTACTGCAAGGAATGCGGAACTGTTCAAATTATTATCCCCCCCCCCGGCCGCTTCTACTACCAGCACAGAGCAGGTTTCGTTACAAACATTGGCCACTTCCCTTAGTCAGATTCATTCAACACTGAATATCATCAACATGTCTTTACATGATTTACAGCAGAGGACAAAGACTTTAGAAAAACAAGGAACTTTAGTTCCCGTAGCTGTGCCCCAGGTTTTGCCTAGTACTTCACTTGTCATTCCAGGGTCAGTCAGCACCACACCTTCATGTTGCAGTGACCTCTCCTAAAATAATTTTTCGGCCAAAGCGACAGCAGCCTTGTCTCAGTTTCAATTCATCATCAACTGGGGAAAGATAGATACGGAGCTATTAAATCACCAGTCTGTACCATTTATCAATCATCCACACATACAGCTAATTGGTGTCCTACTCCAACATTACCTGGCATGGGGAATACACACAAGTCACTGGCTTTATTACCTACTCAGTCAAGTTCGGCTACCGTTCAATTTGACAAGTTAGGCAGGCCTATTCAGTACCTGGGCAAAGCGCAGATTTGCAACAATTTTAACTACAAAACTTGCAATTATCCACAATGTCGTCTCCTTCATATATGCTCGTCTTGTTATAGAGGTCATCCTAGGACGAGTTGTATGATTAGAGAACAACTTTCATGACTAGGCAAGGTGAATACTATAGCTTTAGCGGCATGTCTTCAGCTATACCCAGATCTCTCACTAATAACTTTTTTGACCGAAGGGTTTTCTGAAGGTTTTCACACAGGGTTCAATGGTTCATCACATTACCACAATCACCACATGTGTGACAATCTAAGGTCAGCACTGGCAGAACCGGACATTGTTGATTCTCTTTTGAAGTAGAATTAGATAAAGGATTCATAGGCCCCATCTACCTAATCCTTTATTCTTCATCATAGGCCCCTTTGTAAAACCTCCATTTCAAAATGTGGAGAGTTAGCCCTATTGGTCTGGTTTGTGGGAAATTCTCTAATAAATTCCAGTTAATCTATGATTTGTCGGCCCCTCATTTAATGCATATTCCTGGGGACGCGGACTTGCACCCCACGCCAGTGCCACTGTATCGGCAACTAGTTCTGGACTAAAAGGACACTTGAGTAATGCCGCTAAACTTATTAATAAGTCTCTCTCGGACAACACTCGCAGAGCGTATAATGTTGCGTGGAAAGCTTTTAGTGAATTTCAGGTTAAATTTACCACACAAGATCCTAGTAGTGCATCGTACATTTTGGCCTTTATCTCATATTGTCATACAGATCTCAAACTATCATT